TGCAAAATGGTTGACAAGAGGATGTGGGGCGTCCAAACACCCCTTCGCCAGTTCAATGGGTTAATAACGAATGATATTTTGATGAAATTGGAGAAGAAGACTTGGCCTGGGAAAGGTATTATGACCTCTCTCCACAGGAGCTGGGGGAGCTTATTCGTATGCCAAAGATGGGAAGAATGCTTCATAAGTTCATCCACCAGTTCCCCAAATTAAACCTTGCAGCCCATGTCCAACCGATTACTCGCACAGTACTAAACGTCGAGCTTGTTATAACACCAGACTTTCAGTGGGAGGACAGAATTCATGGATATGTGGAGCCCTTTTGGGTAATTGTGGAGGATAATGACGGTGAGTGCATTCTTCATCATGAATATTTTCTACGGAAGAAGCTGTATATTGATGAGGATCATACTTTGAACTTCACAGTTCCAATTTGTGAACCACTTCCTCCCCAATACTACATTCGTGTTGTGTCGGATAGGTGGCTTGGGTCGGAGACTGTTTTGCCTGTTTCTTTCAGGCGCCTCATCTTACCTGATAAGTATCCTCCACCTACAGAGTTATTGGACTTGCAACCATTTCCCTTGGCTGCACTAAGGAATCCAGTGTTCGAAGCTCTGTACGATCATGATTTTAAGCATTTTAATCTTATTCAGACTCAGGTCTTCACTGTTCTGTATAATTCAGATGAGAACGTTTTAGTTGCTGCACCAACAGGGAGTGGGAAGACCATATGTGCAGAGTTTGCCATATTGAGGAATCATCAAAAGGGCACTGAAGCTGATAGTCCTGTCATGCGTGTTGTGTATATTGCACCTTTTGAAGCTCTTGCTAATGAGCGTTACAGTGACTGGGAAAGGAAGTTTGGAAAGGGTCTCAATCTGTGCGTTGAAAAATTATCTGGGGAAATAAATACAGACCTGAAACGGCTTGAGAAAAGTCATATTATCATCAGCACTCCAGAGAAATGGGATGCTTTATCTCGCCGCAGGAAAGAGTGGAAACATGTTCAACAGGTTAGTCTTTTTATTGTAGACGAACTCCACTTGATTAGTGGTCAATGTGGTCCAATCTTGGAGGCAATAGTCTCTAGGATGAGATATATATCAACTCAATCCGAGAACATGATTCGTATTGTGGCTCTCTCAACTTCTCTTGGAAATGCAAAGGATCTTGGAGAATGGATAGGGGCTACCTCTCACAGCATTTTCAATTTTCCTCCTGCGGCGCGTCCAGTGCCTCTTGAAATACACATTCAGGGGGGTGGATTTTGCTGATTTTGAAGCGAGGATGCAAGCAATGATGAAATTAACATACACTGCCATTGTCCAACATGCCAGGAATGGTGAACCAGCTCTTGTGTATGTTCCTACAAGGAAACACGTCCGACTAACTGCTGCATCTGGTGACTTGCTCAAATGTAAATAATGAGACACCACCTTTTTTATTGCGATCTTGGGAAGGTCATATCGAGTCTTTGATTGGAAGCCTTAATGATGAAAGATTGCAATCCACTTTGCGCATTGGAGTGGGCTACTTGCATGAGGGCTTAACTAGTTCAGATCAACAAATTGTGTCACAGCTTTATGAATCTGGTTGGATTCAAGTGCGTGTAGTAAGCAGTTCAATGTGTTGGGGAGTGCCGCTGTCAGCTCATTTGGTGGTTGTGATGGGAACCCAATATTATGACTGCCGGGAAAATGTTCACACCGATTACCATGTTACTGATCTGTTGCAGATGATGGGCGGTGCCAATCGCCCTCTGCTAGATGATTCTGGGAAGTGTTTCATCCTCTGCCACACGCCTCGTAAAGAATACTACAAGAAGTTCTTGTATGAAGCATTGCCTGTTGAAAGCCATTTCCACCATTACCTACATGATAATGTAAATGCGAAAATTGTTGCTGGAATGATTGAGAACAAGCAAGACGCAGTTGATTATCTTACATGGACCTTCTTGTACAGGAGGATCACACAGAATCCCAACTATTATAATCTCCAAGTAGTTAGTCAGCGGCATCTTTCTGAACACTTCTCGGAGCTTGTTGAAACGACACTGAGTGATTTGGAAGCAAGCGAGTGCGTTGCTATCAAGAATGAAAAAAACCTATCTCCTTTGCCTCTTGGCATGATAGCATCGTATTATTACATCAGTTATACAACTGTAGAGCGGTTCAGTTCTTCTTTAACTTCCAAAACAAAGATGAAGGGTCTTCTGGAGATTCTAGCTCAAGCTTCAGAGTATTCACAGCTTCCCATACGATCTGGGGATGAAGAGTTGGTCCGAAGGTTAATTAACCACCAAAGGTTCTCTTTCGAGAATCCCAAATGCACAGACCCTCATGTGAAAGCAAATACGCTGCTTCAGGCTCACTTCTCCAGGCAACCTGTAGGAGGGAACCTAACAATGGATCAGCAAGAGGATCCTTTCCGCAACTAGGTTGGTTTATGCAATGATTGATGTAATTTCCAGTAACGGCTGGCTAAGACTTGCTGTCCAAGCGATGGAGTTGAGCCAGATGGTGACTCAGGGTATGTGGGACCGCGATTCTGAGCTTCTACAGCTTCCTCATTTCACATAGGAGCTGGCAAAGAGATGTCAAGATAATCCTGAAAAGAGCGTGGAAACCGTATTTAATTTGAAACAGATGGAAGACGATGAGAGACGCAAGCTACTCGAGATGTCAGATGCACAGTTGCTTGATGTTCAACGGTTTTGCAACCGGTTTCCTGACACTGATGTGAATTATGAGGTCCTGGGTTGCGAAAGTATTAACGCTGGGGAAGATAAGATCACACTGCAAGTCAGTCTTAATCGCGATCTTGATGGGCGGACTGAGGTAGGTCCTGTTGATGCTCCGAGATATCCCAAGGGGAAAGAAAGGGTGGTGGCTTGTAGTTGGAGATACCAAGACTGACTCCTTGCTTGACATCAAGAAAGTTTCCGTGCAAAAGAAGTCAAAGATAAAGCTCGAATTCGCTGCTTCTGCAGCCGAAACTGCCGGAAAGAAGACGTACACCCTATATTTCATGTGTGATTCATACATGGGATGTGATCAGGAAATCAGTGTTGATATTAATTGAAGCAGTGGGAGCCTGAAGAGAAGTTTCTTCTTCAATTTATTTTGCTCGCTTCTATTTTTAATTCCTGCATTTTCTACGAACCATTATATATATATATATATATATAAGTTTTTTGTGACGGCTTTGAAGGTGATTCTTACAGTGTAAAGAATCATCCTAACAGTGGATTTTCTTATGTAAAATCGAACGATCGGACTATTTGATTTTACAAGTTTTGGTACTTCCCCAGAAATGCATATCCAAGGGCACATGATCAATATGTACTTAACAAGATTGCAGGTATACCATTTATTGATCAGTTAAGAATTTTCATTCATTTTATTTTATTTGAGAAGACGATCAACATTCTAAACTATGTACGGAAGTAGAACTTGACAAGCATATGATGAGTTTAAGGGAGAAATTAATTTATCTACTTACCCTACTTCTTTACCCCTAACATATCTTTTGACATTCAATCAATTGTATATGTAGACGCTCGTTACCATCTCATGGTTATAAAAAAACAACGTGTGAAAATCATTCCTCTAATATTTTTAGTTTCTTTTGAAACGATAGGGCCGTTTGTTGTTAAAAACTTAATGTTGACTTTCTTTGACATTGTTATTGACTTGAAGCACTTCCTACCAACGCCTTGGAAAGCACTGGTGGCTGAAGAAGGGACTGCAAATTTGACAAAATTCTTACAATCTGAGCTTCACAACATTTAATTACAGGTAAGTCTTCTTTGTGTACGTGTGTGTGTATATATATATATATATATATATATATATATGTTATTTTAGAATAAAATTGAGTAAATATAAGAGTTCGTTTGGAAGTGCCTATAAGTATTTGTATTGATTGGGAGAAAACAATGATTACGTTTAATGTGCAATGTTGGTGAGCTTGACACTCAATAACAAAAAAATGACCGTCTATAAGCCAAATCGTCTGAAAAGTACAACTAAACATTGATTTGGTCTAGTTTAATTTTTTTTTAAATTTTTTTGTGGTATCCAATCCGAGCCAAGGCGTTATATTGTTGTTACTTGTTAGTTTGGTCATGATGTAAGAGTAAAACCGATTCAACTCGGACCATGCCTACCTCTAATTTAAGGATTGATTTCAATTAAAAAAGGTGTGAACACGCCACACCGTTTGATCACTTCCTAAACAAACGACGCGTCGTTGCAAACCGTTCTTTGGACTGGGACGTGGCGAAATGCTAGTAGCTGTCAAAATTCTTACACTGATGATTACCTGACAGAATCTTTTTCGTGCTCATCCATACAAACCAGAATCACAGTGGCATTCGTCGTAATTTTAACGAGGATCCTTACCTCTTTCAGTAATTTTATCAACAAGAAAGTTTCTATTCTTCGGACCCCAAAAAAACCACAAATGGCTATAAAACCCGCCGGCGCCAAAATTTTACCCGATCCCCAATCTCTATCATTCCGATTCAGATTTGATCAAATTTCTATCTCCGATCGTCAATTCGAGATTTTATTCGTTCAATTCAATCTTTTCTCTACCTGTTGATCCCAATTTCTTACCTCGCCGTGCCTCCAATCCGATTCTAGGGTTAGGGTTTTGAAAAATCCGGAAACTTTTTCGATCCGAAAAGGGTTTTTTCTTGACCTGCGAAAAATTGTTCACCCGATAGGGTTTTGTGGTCCGAAAGATCAAAAACTTCCGGAATTATCTGAAAATTTGAGAAATTATTTTGGTTCTTGAAGTTTCCAATTTTATATTATTTTCATCTGTATAAATTGGGGATAAACAGCTTACTGCATGTTTCTTCAATTGCTCGTAAAGTAGTTTTTAAAATTAAAAGTACAATAATTTTTGCGGTTTGACTTTTGAGAAGCTGATTTTTGGGTGCTTTTGTCAGTTGCCGGGACGTCAATATTTTCAGGTAAGGATCAGCTTCTTCAGCTAAAGCCCAGTAGTACTAATCTTTTTTTTAATAAATTTTTAAATTAGATATTTTTTTTCTCTTTTTTTTTATTTTTTATAAATTAATATGCTTTTTAGATAATTGTTTGACTGTTGGACAATAATTGTTTGCTTTTAGTGCCCCTGCGTGTGTTGCAATATGGAAATTGGTATAAAACAATATTCAAAACCTGGGTTTTTGCAAAAGATGATGCAAGGTAGATGTTTTGAAGTTAGCATGTTACATGGTATGTTATTTTTTAAGGAATATGTGTCTCTATCACTTGTCGAAAGGAAAAACGAAAGAATTGAAAACTAAGCGACTAAATAGTCGTTGGAATCATGTGATTCATTTTTGCTGACGTAGTGGATTCAGTTCATTATGCCGATTGTTTGCCTTACCTGATGCGGTTGCTGTTTCAAATTCTGTATTTGCTGTGAAAGGACGAACAATGTTATGTTCATTCTTACGTAGTATGTAATCTGTTTTCATTTGTAGTTAGCGTTGATTAAGTCAAGTCATTCAAAAGGGTTTGTTTCATGTAGAATTGTTATTTTCTTCTCGTTTCTGAGATGTTTGTTTGCGGCTTTCTGCTTTTTGTGGGGGTTTTAGGTATATAAATGCTGTATTGCATATTCAATGCTGCATTTCAAATGTGGCTTTACTTTGCAGGACAAAATGATAAACAAACGACCTTTTGATGTTGAGGATTCTTATGAGGTTGCTTGTAAGCTCCCTAGACGATTGGAACATGCTAATGAGCCTGCTCCAATTGTGGATACTTTTCCTTTGAGTAGCAGTCCCCAGAAAATTCAAATTTCAGGTACCAAATAGTTGCATGGTCAATTGGTCAATAATAATTTTATTTTCAAGTTGTGCGTATAATGATTGGCGGAAAACTTAGAAGATGTAAATGCATAACATGCGCCGTGGATCTGGAATTGCAATTTAGAGTTTAATCTGGACTATTAACACAACCTGACCTTTGAATGGAAATAATGGCATCAGTGTTTGTTATTCTGTTGTAAGTTAGTGTAATCTGGTGTGAGTTAGTATATTGTTTACGAGGACTAATGCATGGTTTTTATTAGCTTAGTGTAATCTGTAGATATTGAGTTTGATCTTATAGCTGATGTAATTACAATATGAAGATGGTGAAGGTGACGGGAGTTTTAGTAAATGTCCAGACGAAGGAAGGTCTGCAAGTGACTTGGGAACTGAATCCTCAAATGAGACCTACAAAGAACTTGAAACTGGTGCTTCTGGAAGCTCCTTCCGATTTTGGTGGGCCAACAACAATATGTTTGAAGCTCATGTAAGACCTGAGGCAGCAGGGCATCTATCATTATTCCCAGAATTTTTTTCACCTGCAAACCATTTGAGGGCTTTTCTTCATTCTGATATGATCTGCTCATCTCCTGTTGATTGTCCTCCTCAAAGGCTAGTTTCTATCGGACCTCAGCATCAAGCTTATGTTCCAGAATGGGGCCACGAGGGTTCACACTCTTCAAATCATCTGGAGAAATTGGATCCTCGGCACGAACTTTCATATGTTTCTGGCCAAGGCCTTGGTGTCAATCAGGAGAAGCTGATGGGTACCTTTATCATTTCTATGCCTGAGCTGGATACATTTGAAAACCATTTATGTGAAGATGTGAGAGCTAGAAACAACTGTAAGTGTGCTGATGCAGGTTCTGTTAGATGCGTGAGACTGCATGTTATGGAAGCAAGAGAGAAATTAAGGGAAGACCTTGGACATCACCTATTTGAAGAGTTGGGCTTTTATGAAATGGGAGAGGAGGTTGCAGAGAAATGGACTAAAGAGGAAGAGCGTGCCTTCCACGATGCCATCTTCTCTAACCCTGCATCATTGGGTAAGAACTTCTGGCACCACCTCTCAGTGGCTTTTCCTTTGCGACCGCACAAAGACCTTGTCAGCTATTATTTCAATGTTTTCATGCTCCATAAGCGTGCTGAGCAGAATAGGTTTGACCCTCTAAACATTGATAGCGACGATGATGAGTGGCAAAAGAGCGAACTTGGAGTGCTCAATGATGACAAGGACGCTTTGGTGGAATCTCCTGTAAATCTAGATGCTCCTGCCTATAACCAGGTAGAACATTTAGGCTGTTTCAATGAGCACATTGAGGATGCTGATGACGTAGATGGTTGTAATGATGGTGCCGATGTGGTTGGTTGTGATGGAATTAAGGACGAGGATGCAGGTGATATAGATGATGGCTCAGGAGCTCATGTTGAGAATCCCCCTGGTGATAGTGGTGGTGCTACTGAAACTCGGCTTTTGGATAAAACTCCTAGCAGTAACAAAGAGAACTATGATATTCAGGATGATTCTTGCACATCATATGAGTATCAGCAAGACAGTTGAGTTATATGCTCCACTTACGGAGGTGAAAGATTCAAGAATTGCAGTGTAGAATGACAACTCGTATATTTAAGTATGCGAAGCATCTTGACTGGCCTGCATCAGCACAATTAGATGTTGAGATGGCAAAGGTCGGAGGTGAACTACAGTACAACTAATAGCTCCTCGCACTGTTGTTCGATTCAAGCCAGCTTTGGGCTGTACAAACTCCTAAAGCCTTTTGTTCATGATTTTGAGAACCCTGAAGGAGGAGCTTCAAGTTGGTGATCGATTATTAACTCTTCAAAGATGAAAGTAGTTTTCCTTCGGTTTTTCAGTTCTTGGAAGAAGGCAGCTACAGATACAGATGTGGGTTTCTAGTACACGATTGATGTCCTCCGTCTGCTAGTCAAAGGGATTACCGTGGCCGGGAAACTCCTTCCTTAAGTGAATAGGGTAGAATTTCATTACCCATGTTCTTCCGTGAGACCAAAATCCTGTTTTTCCTTCTGAGGATGAGTCCCGTGCGAACAGTAACACAAAAGGGATCGTTTTCATCGAAGAAATTGAATCAAAAGTTCGTTACCAAGAATTCACACTGCATCTTTTTGTTTTTGGTAGTGAGGTTAATTCGTTTTATTTTTTGTCTTCGTTTTCCCAGTGTTGTCACTCTTATTTGATACTATTTCTCTCAATCCTTTGGAAATGAATTTTTACATGAATTTAAATACCTATTCAAACTTCTATAGAAAGCTTTTTAATATACTTTTTTTTTTATGGATTCTCTGTTACTTCACTGTTTAACGTCAATTTTCATGTCAACATTATAAAATATTATGCTAAAAATATAAGTTGACAAATAATCCGCGAAGAAACACACTTTTGAGATAGCTTCTTTAGCGTATCTCAAAAGAAGTATGCGAGAATGCTTTTCCGACGAAAAAACAGATCATGGGTTTGAAAAGTAGTGTCAAAGGCTTAAGATCGTCCAACTTGAGCAAGGAAAAATTCTACCATGTCCAGGGAATCCCTTACTTTGTAGAATTAAGGGTCAAGAGTTTGGTCAAATGTCAAAATTCTTTTGACATGACTAAATTATTAACTTTATGCATGCTAATGTACTTCCATCAAAGTTCAAACAAAAAAAAACATTGACCATCCAACTACCTACCCTTTCAAATTTACTGTGCCTTCGAGTGTTTTTTACCATGTTACCCCTGTCAAATTAACCGTGCATTCGACAGTTGGGGACAGTGAGGTTCGGACCTTGGGATTTGGGAAAGGGATCTTCTGCGGATTCCTTTCATTAAGTTCACATATCCGGACTATTGAAATTTGATTCAACGTTTATAAACAGGATTTCCTTTAAAAGTTATAATAACTTTAGTTGTTTGATCAAATTTCAATGATCCGGATGGGTGAACTTAGTAGAAGGGATCCGGAGAGGATCCCTATCCCAGACTTGTCCCTTGTGTAGGGTTACTTATGAGAACAAAGTGGTAAATGCTAAATAGGCACTTACATTTCCAATCCGTTGGTTGCTATGTCCTTGGAAAGAAAATGTACACAGACCACATGAAGGTAGGATCATCCAATTCTTCAGCCTTGCACCCCAAGCAACGCCATAAATTAGGGTCCTTTTGGGTATTTACATCACTTCTGCCTCAGCATTTGGTCACCCACTTTTTGTCAAGTGATAGTACAGTACAATTTTTTTTATCGGTATGACTTTCGCATTGCCATTTTATTTATGTGTGTTTTCTTATTTTTATCTTTTGACTTTTACCTTATTTGTTCAATCTTAAAGCTTGCTTGATGTCGAATATGAGATAGAAAAGTACGTAAATCATTTCTATTTATAAATAGATCTAGTAGAAAAGCGTTTATCAATATTATAATATTTAAGGAAAAAGTAATTTTCCTTAATAAATTAGAAAATTCATATCCATCTAACTTTTCGAATTTGAGTCCACCCTTTTGAACAACGTTATCCATCCGACCTGGGCCGTGATCCGGCAAGTTGACATAAACACACAATGTCATATATTAATTACAAAAATGCCAAAATGCGAGCTAGCATGGTGGTAGCAATAGCAAAGTTGGTAGCTTGATATAGACGAGCAGGTGGGACAAAAGTCGGAGTCTGGGACTATAGCTTTGCTTTCATGCAAGGATTTGGTTTCTTTTTCTCTCCTTCCAAATGAGGCATAAGCTCCCAACAACAAACATTTAGAGAGAGAAAATCTAGAGAGAGAGAGAGAGAGAGAGAGAGAGAGAGAGAGAGAGAGAGAGAGAGAGAGAGAGATTAGTGCTAGAAAGATCCCAACATTAAACATTTAATTCGTTTTCGTTGTGTCTAATCTTGCCCGCTACTGGCGAAGCAGTCCTCTCACTCAGTCAGTGCTGCAGGTACAGAGATATTGCTTTGCTTTTTGGCTTCCACATTTACAATTACATGTCTTCAAGCACCACGCGAGAGAGAGAGAGAGAGAGAGAGAGAGGAGAGAGACCCTTCTGCTCAAACCAAAACTCTGAAATCTGAATCGTTTCTTCCCCAAGAGAGACGGAGAGGTTTTGATTAGGGACCCATATCTTGTTCTTGCCCACAGATTCTACAAAACCCAAAAGTGCTTCTTCTCCAGTCACTTGTGAAAAAAGCAAGAAAGCTTCGTCTCTGATCTGGGTTTTCAGCATCCTCTGTTTCTTGAGCTCCTTCAGCAATTTTTCCTCGAATGCGGTGGAAAGATTCAAACTTTCTCGGAAAATTGGATTCCGTCTCGGTTTTGGGATCTGGGTTCGTTTGCTTTTCTGGTTAAGATGATGGAACATGTGTGCAAGCTCTGCAAAAAAAGCTTTGTGAGCGGCAGGGTCTTGGGAGGTCACATGAGGTGCCATGGAGCAAGAAAATCTGCTAAAACAGAGAAAATGATCGAAATGTGCAGGGTGGATTTTGAGGTTGAAGACGATGATCACGCTGGTTATGGATTACGAAGGAACCCGAAAAAGTCCTGGAAGTTTTCAGGGGACTCGAAGTTTAAAGCTTCTGCAGGGGATGAGACCGTCTGCAGGTGCAGGGTTTGTGGCAAAGGGTTTGATTCGATGAGGGCGATGTTCGGGCACATGAGGCATCACTCGGGGAGGGAGAGGAAGGAGACGCGGTCTTGCGAAGTTTGCTGTAAAGGATTTGAATCGTTGAGAGCTTTAGCTACTCATAGCAGATGCCACTCGGAAAGGATGAGGGGAACTGATGGATTGGAGACTGTTTCTTCAAGCAAGAAGCTTCCTGTGGATTCCTGTCAGTGCAGCAGTGAGACAATCGGGCTGATTCGGAGGAAAAGATCGAAAAGATTGAGGTACAAGAATACTAATTCAAGCTGTTCTTTTTCTAGTTTTAGTGTGAATGAATCTAAGTATGTTACTGAATTCGGGGAAGAAGTAGTAGAGGGGGCTATTTGTTTGATGATCATATCTGGTAGTGGAAGCAATTTGGGTCGAATTAGTTCGGTGACCGAGTCTTCGGATAACAATTCGTTGTCATTGGAAGTTCAATCACCAAGTCAAAAGAATTGGATCATGGAAAATAAGGGTGGTGTTTCTGGTTGTGATGTTTGTGATGATACTGTGAAATTGGTTGATTGCATTTCTGATTGTAAGAATGTCTCTGATGAGAAGAAAGTATTTGAATTTAGCGAAAACGGTCCTTGGTTTCTGAGTGATGAGGAAAAGAAGGTCGAAATGGAAGACAGGTTCTCCAGGGGTGCAGGTTATAAGAGGCCTAGACTGGATGGGGAAACTGCATTTGGGCTGTGTGATACTGAAGTGGAAATGAAGGTGGATATTATCGAGGAAGTAGAATCGGATGTAGCTGCATTCGGATCAATGAAGTCAGGTTTGAACAATAAACCCATGTTATATGCTACTGAATCTGAAGTCTTTGCTGATTCCCAGAAGAAAAGAGAGCACAAGTGCAGGATTTGCAACAAGGTTTTCGGGACGTATCAGGCACTTGGAGCTCACCAAAGAGTTCACAAATCGACCAGCAATAGTTCTGCCGTAAAAATTGAGGATCATGAAGATAGAATTCCGATTGCCAAGCTTGAATGCAGTGATAATTCAGCAGCAGAAGGGGAGACGGAAAGAGTAATTGAGAATAAGGGTCACAAGTGCTCCATCTGCTTGAAGGTGTTTGCAACGGGCCAAGCTTTGGGTGGCCACAAGAGAGTTCATTTCGGCAAAGACCCCGAGAGAGGTGCACAAGAGTCCAGAGTGCTGAAGCAGCAGATTTCCAACATCTGCGATGCATTTGATCTTAGCCGTCCAGTCGAAAATGGTGATGTTGAATTCAAGTCCTGGTGGCTTGGAAATGAACATAAGCAAGAGCTGTTGATGGGTCTGATGCCCAACTGAGAAGTGATTCCATCAAAAGCAGCTTTGGGAGTTTCTAGTGTTAAAGCTTCTGTTTACTGCTTTTGACTAAGGTAGCAGCCCAGGACTTGAATCTCAGCGATACATTTCGGTCCTCAGAAATGTTACTTTTTTCCCCTTCTTTTTTCCATTCTTTTGCTTTAAGTCCATAAAGTTTGAACAGAACACCTCATCTGGGGACCTTCTTAAAACTTGTTTAAGATGCCCGTCCATGTCATTTGTAAAGTACTTCTAAAAAAATATGGGAACCCCTTATATTTTGGTTCTACCCGATTTTATAGTCTCACTAGGTATGAATTACTGTAGTCAGACAGTCATACCGAATACATGACAAACCATGACATACATATTGTTTACTTCTTTCCCTCTATGTATCAATCTTCTTTTGCAAGTATGAAAAGATGCCTTTGCCTTGACCCAAAAGAAAACACTCCAACCGCACAACTTTAAAGTGCATTTCAAACTCAAATATCCGTTTACATCCTAGATTCAAGGCTTTAAGAACTCCAATCTTTGACTTGTAAGTTTGGCTTGCAGTAAATTTTACGGGTACGGTTTTTTAGGATATGAACACGTATTAAATACGAACATCTACAAGTGACTCATGACGTCTTCGTATTGTAACGGGAGCTAAAATTTGCTTTAATAAGGGTAACATGTTTTTTTTGCAGTGATGCACACACAGTTATTGAATATGCAAAATAATTTGTGCCATATATATATATATATATATATATGTGCAGAACAAAATTAAACATCATGTGAGCGTAGATGGGATCACTACTTCAATCGATTTCTGTGCTTTTCTGGCCATGTGCTTGTAATGCCCACTAAAAAAAGACATTTTAAGATGTGAGAGTGTGGTTCTCTATACTTGCCCATAATCTTAGAGAGCTGACATCTTTTTTTCTACTTACAAATAATGTATTTTTACCGTATGAATTTTTATAATCGAAACTATTCAGTCTTTAAATTTTCGCTTGAAAATCATCTTTACAATAAATCATTCGAATTGGGTATTGTTTAGTTATCTAAATGTATCAAATAAATCAACAGTGTAAATACAAAGTAGCATATTCACAATGAACAATTGATTTATTTCACACATTTAGATGACTAACGATATCCAATGATTTTTCATAAAGATGATCGAAATTAAGAGACTGAACTGTTCCGATCATGAAAGTTTCACAATGAAGATACGCTGCAAGTAAATGGGGTGGAATGTGATCACACTCATTAATTTGGCTATTTGAGATAAGAAAAAATACATAAAAAAAACTAAAGGTCTGTTTGGTATTCTACTTGAATCCAACTTTTTAAACTCAAAAACAATTTTCAAGTTTTGGGCCTTAAAAACTTGTTTGGTATGACTATTTTTAAAAACTAAACTTAAGACTAACTCAAAACTATAGTTTATTCTCTAACAACACAAAAAATAAGTTTTTAGAGTTTTTAAACTTGAACACTCATTTCTTTTCTCTCTCTCTCTTTTCTTCTCTCTCTCTGCCTTTTCTTTTTTGTTTTATTTTTTACTTTCTCCGTCTCTCCTCCAATTCACTCTTCATTCTCTCGGTTCTTTCTGTCACTCATCTTCCTCTGTATCTTCTCCGATCATCTCTATTCTTTCTCTTTCCTCCAATCACATCTTACTTTCTTTACTTCTCTCTTCTCTTTCTCCCTCGACCCCCTCGTTGTGGATTTCTTTGTCCAATTTAAATTGTAAGATATAAAATTTTTAAATCGCACACTAAACAAGTTTTTGAGTCTTAAAGAAAATTGTTTTCAAGAAATGTTTTGAAAAATAATAAAAAATTTCAAATAAGATACCAAACAAGCTCTAAACTTTTACTGAACCAAACGATACATATAGATGGTCCCTCGCTGCCTTTGTTCGGAATATCCACTATACATACGAGATGGTGGCGCTTATTTCAAATAACCACTTTTTTCCAAGCACTTACTGTACTAGTGTAGCAACCAAACGCTGCCCTTTTATTCCGAGCATTTTATTCACATGAGAAAGAGAGAGGGAGGGGAACAATAAAAGCCTGGGGGTCATCACAACGACGTGGTAAGACCATGTTTGGTTCCAAGAAGAAAACTTCTAATGCAGCTCGACGGGGTTGATGTTCCATATGTCCTTAGCATATTCGTGAATGGTCCTGTCGCTGCTAAACTTGTACGAGCCTGCTGTGTTCAGGATCGACATTCTTGTCCATCTCTGCTCCCAACAAACATCAGGTAAAATCATTAGCTGCGATTAACTCAAAATATTGCTCGGGAATGTAAAGTACGATGAAATTAAGCAGAGGGAATGTATGCCAGCGATGTATCAATATCGAGGAGAAATGTGTAGCATGTAGCAGCAAACAAGGGCTTGCATGCATGGAGAACTAACCTTTTGGTCTCGATATGCTTCATCGACCTTCTCTTGACATTCTATGTAACTGGGGAAGTCCTTGCCCACAAGGAAATAATCTGCCTGGCCAAATCCTTCATTTCCTTCCAGGGATCCAATCAGTTCGTCATAATTGTACGACCCAAAAACACCGCTTTTGACAAATTCCTTGACTTCTTCAAAACGTGGGTCCGGAACAAACTGCATAAAGGATTCAAGAGAGGCATCAAAATTTCATTACAGAAGAAATATTTTCTGTTCTTTGAAGCATTTTCAATGGATCAGTCTTTCGAAGAACTTGAAAGCACGGGCACAAAAGCAATAATTTGGTTATCGAGACTAACCTTTCCCTCAGCTCGTTCCTTTCTCAGCCCAGCAATCTCATGAGCTTTAGCACCAAAGAGGAAAAAGTTGTCTTCCCCAACCTCTTCTCTTATCTCAACATTGGCACCGTCTAGAGTCCCAATGAGGATGCAGCCATTCATTGCAAACTTCATGTTGCTGGTTCCACTGGCTTCCATACCAGCGGTACTACAAATAAATAACAATTAACAAGAGGCCAAGATAACATAAGGGTTGGTTTGTGAGTGTATACATCAGTATATTGTAGCGCCTTGTACGGGTTCCATAAAACATAGATCCCATGATATATTATCCAACACAAGGAAGGCTCACCTAGATTTTTAGTTTAATACACAATGCTCTGAACTCTCTACTCTACAAGTTACTAACATAAGGGTTGGTTTGACCATTCACGAATATGCTAATCTGCTTGAATTTGACCCTTGATTATTCTCGCAAACCAAGCCAAACCCATTCTTTTCTTACTAAAATATCAATTATTGCTAAAAACCTAAGCAGCGGAAAAAGTTTAAAACCAATTCCTGCTTATGTTTCTCCATTTACCACTCACAGACAGAAAAATCATGTGGCCAGCGAAAAAGTGAATCATGACGGATAAGACTGAATTACCTGATGTGCTGTGAGAGCTCACTTGCAGGAATTAACTGTTCAGCAACACTGACATTGTAATCGGGGACGAAGACAACCTAATATAACACTCAATTTTATAAATTAGTGAGTCAGTAATTCAGATGAATTTACAGCCAATCTAAAATACACACACATAAAGATATTGCATGTGTTGGTTCTTTTACAGAGCCAACTTATATTAACTGTAAGTCAATAAAACTGCAAAATCGCTTGTTTTATCAAGTTATCAGTGCAAGAACCCTATTAACATCAAAGATCTCCATACCTTCAGTAGATCACCGATACTAGGATCATGATTAATGGTTGCCCCTACATCTGCGATAAATTTCACAATTCTCTTGGCTTGCACATACGTAGAAAATGCTTTTCCTCCAAACATACAAACACGTGGAACAAACTTTGATTTCCTTCCTGAAGCACTCATTTCTTTCATTTTCTTGTAGCGGTAAACAATTCCCATAATATTCATCAGTTGTCGCTTGTATTCATGAATGCGCTTCACCTGAACAGAAACATTCCAATAAGAAGAGAACTTTGATCGAGGCATGATGAGAAACACAAGGAAATTTTGTGCAGTGAATAGACCAACGATGCGCAAAGTTGGCTTTGCGGGCATTTATCTATTTAATATACATTTGAAGGAGATTTGAATGCATAGAAATTACCTGTATATCAAACATTGCATCAGGGTTGACAGAATAACCCGTTCTTTCTTTGATCAAGGACACAACTTTCAACTTGTTGTTCCTTTTTGCTTCCCTCCATTGGGTTTGGAGATCCTGATTGTCTGCAAACTATCACAAAACCAAATAACTGAGATAAGTATATGGCCATAACAACGATACTCCAAAAATCATATAAAAGTCAACATAATCTCTAAGTCGTTCAGTCTTGTGAGTTTTACCTTTCGTAATTCGGCCAGTTTTTCAGTATTTAAGACCCAGTCTTCCGTGCCAATCCACTTTGTTATAATGTTACTTAAATCTGGATTACAGAAGCGGATCCATCTTCTTGGTGTCACCCCATTTGTTTTGTTTTGAAATTTATCAGGCCACAACTGCCAAAATTGCAGGTTAGAGATCAATAATAAGAGCAATTTTTCAACATTGAAAGAACCTCGTCTTTACTAAAACTGTCAAGGCTTACCTTATAAAATGAATTAAATACTTCATCTTTCACTATTTCACTGTGTATTTCAGCAACGCCATTTACTGCGTGACCACCCACAACACAGAGATTCGCCATACGTACTAACTTCGGTGGTGGTTCCACCACAACCTTTTTCTTTTTTTCCTCTTCGCGTTTCTTCACAGGTACTTTTTCTTCATCAGCAGATTCACCTTCCTCTTCTGACTCTTCAATTTCTTCACTCAGGACAGCAGTGGAACTCTTTTCGGCATCAGCAGATTCATCTTCCTCTTCTGACTCTTCAATTTCTTCACTCTGGACAGCAGTGGAACTCTTTTCGGCATCAGCAGATTCATCTTCCTCTTCTGACTTTTCAATTTCTTCACTCGGGACAGCAGTGGAACTCTTTTCGGGTTTAACAATTAAATCTGAAAATTTGGCAGGCAAGTCAACATTTTCTAATATTCTCATCTCCTTAAGTTTCTTCTCTAATAAATCATAATCTGCTGTGCCATATTCCGAAATTATGGTCTGAATGAGCTGCAGAATATGCAAATGCAAGGAATCAGTAAATTTTATAAACTCCAAAGGTATGAACTGTTTAACTTTTGTACATAATCCAGCATTACCTCCTCATCTATCATCTGTATGATCTGAACATGTCGAGGAAGCAGCTTCTCCATAAGTTCCAGACTCCATTTCTCCAAGGCCTCAGGTAGAACAGTATGGTTTGTATATGCAACCGTCCTAGAACACATGTGACAGGATGTAAGGGAAAAGAAGTTGCTACGGTTAAGAATGAACTAACAAGTATTCCCACAAATCACAAAAGGTGTTACCTTTGAGTAATACTCCAGGCCTCCTTCCAGTCCAAACCCTTCAAATCAATCAAAATTCTCATCAGTTCAGGAATGCAGAGAGTTGGATGAGTATCATTCATCTGCACTGCCACCTTCTCGGGGAACTCTTCCCATTTGACATTTGCTCCAGATCTTCTCTCAAAACGTGCAACAATATCTTGGAGAGAAGCAGAACATAAAGTATATTGTTGCTTCAAACGAAGTGTCTTGCCCTCCATTGATTCATCCCCAGGATAAAGTACGTAGCAAATCTGTTAATCATTAAACAAACAGCTATTTTACCTATTGAACCATATGTGGTTAAAATAGCAACATAACAAAAGAAACCCGAAAGCAGACGATAACTGGTCAATAAGAATATGCCTGATAAGTAGAGATTTCCGCTGGAACACATATATATTAAATATAAGTTCTTTAAAAGAATGCAGCAAGTGCCCCCCTTCACACCAAATAACTAATAAAGGAAAAATAAGACAACAGAAAACCCGAAGTCTGTATTTTCTGATCAAATTGGAAATTGGAAAAGAAAGAAAACAGAAAGGAAAGGAGTACAATAAACAACCTTTTCAGCATTTGCTAAAGCTTCAGATGCTTTCGTGTGCTCTCCAGAATTAAAAGCATATAAATCAAAGTTCTGTGATGAAGCTTTCGTTGACCAAAGCCGCAAGTTGATTGTGGTTTTAGTTTTGTATCCAGGTATTGGAACATCATAAGCAACAGCATCTATGTCTTCTCCTCCAATCCAATGCTGTTTTCCATCCGAACCAGTAACAATCTTGCCATAAAATTTGACAGGATAGGAGACATCATTTCTCACAATCTCCCAGGGATTTCCCATCTGCAAGATTCAACAAATAATAAGGCATAAAGATTTCACCAAAAACGTTTACAGACAATGATGTGGTTGAAACGAAAGATGAACACATAAAGCATGCATACCTCAAGCCAATCCTCAGCAACTTCTTCTTGACCATCTTTAGTAATCAGCTGTTTAAATAAGCCATACTTGTACCGAAGCCCATACCCCATGCTGGATAATTTAACGTTGCCAAAGAGTCCAAGAAGCAAGAGGCAAGCCGACCAAGACCTCCGTTTCCAAGTGCAGCATCTGGCTCCTATAATCAAATCATCTATATAAGCTAGTTGTACAAGCACACAGACACAAAACATGCCGAGAAAGACAAACACACACACGTTAAGCAAAATTTATAGAAGTGACCAGTTGCTTATAATGCAATATTAAAATTATGAATGTTCATAACTAAATTTTGATGAAAAGGTAAAGACTGGACCCTCACCTGGTTAGCAACATTTTCTAATTTGTGTCCAAGCTTGCTTAAAGCTTCCGCATATGCACCATCAAGCTCTAAATTACCAATGGCATTTAACAGCGCTCTACCCTACAAAAACAGAACACTGTGACATGAAGCATATTGCAAGCTATAAGCGACAGAAGTGTACATCCACACTTGTGGGGAACGAATTCAGGGAGTTCATAACGAACCTGTAGAAATTCCATTGACAAATAATATGCCTGCTTTGCGTTCAATTTTTCATAATGATTATTTGTTGCATTCCAGTTAACAATAAGCGCATCACGAACACTTTGTGCAGTTGCAAAGAAGGCCTTTGGAAGCTCAAACTTCTCCGGAGAAAACAACGGGGTGAATTCTGCGTGGTATTTGATGCTCGAAGCGATGGAGGCAGCATCAGGTACGAATGAGCTGAATTCGCTTGCAGCATCTAAGTAAAAAAATGCAAAGTGCTAAATTGAGTACAACACAATATCTCGAGTCATTACATTAGAACATACAAAAAAAGGCGCAATCTCTCAAATATATATATATATATATATATATATGTGTGTGTGTGTGTGTGTGTGTGTGTGTGTGTAATTACATATATATATATATCAAAATTGAGAATTTGATAAGCATGATCCGAAACCCTTCCAACAACCAACCACATATTTACCATGTCAGCATAAAAAAAGAGGATCCGAACCCATCAGCTAATTCGTGCCATCTATCGATTCAAGATAGCAAAAATCCAGCTTAACCAGATGATTTCAAGCTCTTAGCCATCTAATCAACAAACCCCACTTCCAGAAACTCCTCAAAAGTTGGGTTTGATTGGAAAAACGGATAGCAAATTATGACCATCAGACTAACAAAGAATCGATTTTTAATACATTTTTCCTGTAAATTAATCACAACCAGATGGTGGTTCCCAATCCTTTTCTGAAACTAACGAGGTAAAATGAGAGTGATGAACAATCAAAGCATGAAAGCATGGGTTTTAAAAATAAAAAAAATTTATATATATATCAAAGGACAGAGAAGATAAGGAGGATGACCTTGTTCGATGATCGGATTCTTGAGCTCGTGAGGCTTGTCCAGAACGCTCTTTACCGAGAACGAAAACGGCCGAGTCCGATTCAATGTCCTTGTGAACAAAAGCTTGGATTTGTTCTTCCTGGAACCGAAATCGATCAGTTTGGATTGCGATTTGCAATGCCACGCTGTCTCTGCTCCGCTGCGAGTTGCAGAGAATTGGGAAGCTGCCATTGCTGTAATATGCTCTCTCTCTCTCTCTCTCAGAACAAGAAGAAGACACTCAGTCTCTGTGTTTTTCTGAGTCACTGAGACTCGTTCGTTTGTTTGCCAATGCGATGCGGATACTACCGAGCTTATGAGTATCTTCCTTCTTATCTCTTTTCACAAGACTTCACTCACTCTCTCTCTCACATAAAAGTCCATTTCCAAATTATCATGGGCCCCACTTTGTTTCTGTTATCAAAGGACCCGGCTCATAGTTGTTATACATTCTCATTCTCTTTTATTTTGTGTGGTTAAGCCACATTCATATTTTATATTGATTTTTTATAAAGATAATAAGACAAAAAATAATAGTTAAAATATTGACGTGGCTAACCGTGACCGCATAAATAGAAGGAGATGAAAGTATATGAGAACTGGGAGGGGATAAGCCATATCCGTTATTAAAATGCACTTTCCACTTCTTGATTCATATAATAATTGAGATTTGGTAGATGTGGTTTCATCTTCTGTGAAATGTTTCTCTCTGGAAGAATTTATACGTGACAATACATTATTATACTAAAACTTTTGTGATTATATTTCGTGTAAATTTTACCTCTTAGCTAAGTTATGATGCTTGTTATGATGCTCACTCTTTCGCTCAAAGAATTAAATATTTACACATGCGATCTTATTGTACAATATCTGGATCTAATAAAGCACGATCATGGGAAAAAATGTATACCATACATGATTAATTTCAACAATTAAGTATAGTCATAAAGCTAAGTTTCTTTCCTCTATCCAAATTTGAATCTTCTTATTAAAATGCAAATAGTTAGATATTTGAAGGAAAAAAAATTCAAATGACTTATATTATGACATTGTACCAGACCGTATTGTCGCACAATAAAAAAACTAATGAAAAAGGTTTGAAAACTTTGAGTTTTAACGATTAGAACAAAATAAAGGGTAAAGTGAATAGTACCAGAATTGACTTTTTTGTGTAAAAAATGTGATTTTTCGTTAAATTAAACAGTACCGGAAACTTTAGTTAAAGTTTCCTAAAAAAATATTCTGTGAAAGGGAACAAGAAAAGTTTAGATTTGAGTAATACTCTACTTTGAACACCAATTTTGATTTGCTTACCACATCCACACAGCATGTCTTTATTTGTTGATTTCGATGAGTCAACTCTTTGACTGTTTGGGATCCAGCTGAGTGCAATATTTGCATGGTTTCTGTAGTCGCGCTTGCACTTGATCTCTACCGTTTATTTTGTATTTATTTTTCATAAATAAAATAGTAAATATGAAGAATTATTTTGGAGCTATTTTTCAGGATAAATTATTATTTTAAATAAATTGACAGTTTCAATATTCTGTTAGGTGATGATTGCGCGGGTTGATAGCTCTGGTTCGTTATATTAGCACCGTGTACTTGTAAGCATGTCATTGGATTAACTAAAATGCACATATAATAATTGATATTTGGTAGATCTGGTTTTATCTTATGTGAAATGTTTCTTTTTTGAAAAATTTATACATGATAATACATTATTAGACTAAAATATATGTGATCATATTTCGTGTAAATTTTACTTCTTAGCTAAGTTACGATGTCCATTCATTCATGCAAAGAATGAAGTATTTACGCATGCGATTTTATTATACAATATCTGAATCTAGTAACGCATGATCATGTGAACCATATGTGATTAATTTCAACAATTAAGTATAGTCATAAAGGTAAGTTTATTTCCTTTCATCCGAATTTGAATCTTCTTATTAAAAATTAATTTAAAGTAATTTAGAAATGTTGATTGTGAAAAGAAGCGATTTAGTGTGTCAGTAACACGACTCGATATATGAAGTGATAATGCAAGTAGTTGGATATTTTTTTAAAAAAAATCAATGATTTATATCATGACACTTTGTATACAGGACGGTGTTACCGACACAATTAAAAAAAAAAACTAATGAAAAATGTTTGAAAATTTTGAGTTTTAACGATAAAAACAAAATAAATGGTCAAGTAAATAGTACAAGAATTGACTTTTTAGTATAAAAATATGATTTTTCGTTAAAATAAACAGTATCGAAATTTTTTCGTAAAAGTTCTTTAAAAAAAAATGTGAAAAGCAACAAAAAAAAAGTTGAGATTTGAGTAATACTCTACTTTAAACAGCAATTTTGAATGCTTACCACATCCACACGGCATGCCTTTATTTGTTGATTACGATGAGTCAACTTTTTGACTGTTTGGGATCCAGCTGAGTGCAATACTTGCATGGTTTCTGTAGTCGCGCTTGCACTGGATCCCTACCATTATCTTTTGTATTTATTTTTCATAAATAAAATAGTAAATACGAAGAATTATTTTGGGGAATTGGATCATAGGGATTAACACACACGGACAGTTGATAAAAAATTATTAGGCCACAATTTTTTTATTTTTTATATTTTTCATGCAAAATAAGACTGTTTTACTTTTAAAAATATAAAAAATATTTAATTGGGACCGTACGATTTTTTATCAACAGTCTGTGTGCTTTGATCCTTAGGATCCCTAGGATAAATTGACAGTTTTAATATTTTATTAGGAGTGTGATTGCGCGGGTTAATAGCTCTGGCTCGTTTTATTTGCACCGCATACTTGTAAGCATATCATTGGATGAACTGAAGAGGTGTTACGAGGTGCCCATGGGTCATGAGCGATGACAACCGTTGGTTCAGATTTTTTGTCATGAGCGATGACAACCGTCGGTTCAGATTTTTTGTCATGAACGATGACAACCGTTGGTCCGAATTTTGGAGAAAGCTAGTAACCAAAACTGCTGACCATATACTTTTGGGTCCCTATAATCTTTTTATAATCAGCGTGACATCTTATTATTAGACTTATAGACTTTAAATGTGTGTCATTTCAGCACATTAACAGAATGATTAACGAAATCGTACATGAATGACTAAATTGATTTGCGACAAACTTCAGAGATGACCTTGATTGATTTTGAAATTAAGAAATTAAGAAATTAAAATGAGAAGTTAGATCCATTTCAACGACTATTTGTAATAAAATCACAATTCTGAATTGCGAAATGAATTTTGTATTCCTTAGTGTTTTATTACGATCTAATGATATTCCTCTTTTTTACTGTAAGTGAGTAATTTTAGGTTAAAATTTTAAAATCACGAGTTCGATACTAATTTATTCCCACCGTGCATCATTGTATCAAAACAAAAAATAAAAAAATTTCTCAAACCAAATTCAATTTGGAATTTTTGGACCTTTGATTGACCCAATGCACTTACTTGTGTCCCAACCATACCAATTCATAATTGACCAAAAAAAAAACCATACCAATTCATAGGGCCCCAATATAAGAGACATATAGGGCCATTTAACCATATGGAATCCAAAACCATTGACCATACAAAGACCAACAAAAGAAAACATCAGCCTGGGCCCATGCCACGTCATACTCACATCACTTTCTGATCAAAAGGTGTAACAATGTCAGTATGTCACATGCTTTTTTTTTTGTCAATAAATAATGTCACATGCTAAGCAATAGGTAAATGAGTAGCTAAACTTATCACGTCAGCCCTTTTAGGCTCCCACAAATGGCCTCCCACCACCACCTCCACCACGCTCACCACCACCAACCTCCACCCCCCACCACCGCCATTTGCTGCACCAGCTCCTACAACACCTGCTGCTGCACCCAAACCCACAACCCCTACCCGCCACAACCACCACCGCCACCAGCCACAGACCCACTTCTCCAAGCCCTCGCTTCTCAGTTTCTCCAATCCACCCCACCAGATCCCTACTCTCCCCACCACAATCTCCGCCCCAAAAACCCTCACCACACCCACAATGCCCACCACCCAAAACACCGTTTCCGCCAACAACCCCCACAAGACCAACTTATCTCCTCCCTCCTTTCCCGCATTGAAGCCCTCGAATCTTCCCTCCACCACCACTCCTCCTCTGCCTCGCACTGCTCTCACTCTCCGTACTCCCGCTCTCTCAGAGACTCCGCCGCCCGAGTGATTCAAACCCACTTCCGTGCGTTCCTCGTTCGCAGATCCCGAACCCTCAGGCAGCTCAAAGACCTCTCATTCATCAAGTCTGCTTTCACCTCTCTCAAATCCTCGATTTCCAGTGAAACCCACTTGGATTTTCACGCCATTTCTCAGAAATCCATCAATTTACTTCTCAAGCTCGACTCGATTCAGGTAAATAATTTTCATGGGTAATTGCAATTTTACTAATTTTTTATAAAGTTACTGCCTTTTTTGTTATTTTCTTTGAGGTTTTTGGTTGTGCATTTTGTTTCCAGGGCGGCGATCCGATTGTTAGGGATGGGAAGAGGTCGATTAGCAGAGATTTGGTGAGGTTTTTGGAGTTCATTGATGGGGTTGTTATGAAAAGGCATGGGCTTTCACTGAAAGCAGTGAAGAATGTGAAAGGGGTGAAGAATGTGAGGTTTGGTCAAAATGTTAACAAACCACGGGTTTTACCCGCCAAGTGCGGTCGCGATATGGGATGGGATCAGAGGGAGAAGATTGAGAATTTGAGGGATAGGATCGAGAAGATTCGCGGGTTTGCTAGAATTGCTGAGAATGATGAGGAAGATGTGGAGCTTGAAGGATTTCAGCATGACAGTGATGAAGATGAAGAAAACCTTAGACTTCGATTTAAAAATGGGGTGTTGGTGAAAGGGCATGGGCTTCAACCTAAGGTCAAGAAAAATGTGAGCTTTGCAGAGAATGGGAATGTGTATCGGGTCTTTAGCAACTCCGATGAACCAGTCTTGGGTTGGGATGGGAGTGATTCTAGTGATGATCATGGAGAGCTTGTTGAGAACCGTTGCAGTGAGGTTGAAGAAGTTAAGGGCATTTCTCAGGAGACCGAGGAGGATGACGAGGAGGCGCACACCGAGAATGGCGAATCACCACAGGCCAGCAGTGATGGAGAAAGAAACCCCAGAGCTAGAATGACTCCGAGAAGAGAAGATATTTATGAAACCAGAGGCCGTGATCAAGTTCAGAATGAGTATTTGCTATTCTCAGCTCCTTTGCCGGTGAAGATGGAGTCGAAATCTGACATCTTAAAGAGAAATAAGGCTGTGAAACTTTGAAATGAAGGGATGTAACCTGAGATTTTGTTTTGTGTCCTACAATATTTGTGCGGCTATCCGGGTGGACATTAGGTCTTCGCCATTCAAATCATTATGTTTTGATCGATTAGTAGAACGCCATGTCGGGTGGGTGTTCGATCAATCCCCTCTGCTGCTGAGAGAGGGAGGCTGCAAACCATTCTGTAAGATGTAACCTTCCACTCTTTACCATTGTCTGCTTGTTCTTACATTTGCAGTGTTTACCTATTGAGTTGTATGGCCTAGTAACACTTATTTTATACCTTAACTTTCTCACAAAAGATGCAAAGACAACGTAACGCAACGTTCATGTTAGAGAAAATGAATGCAGATTACCGAGACTTATTACGCGGGCAAAAATGGAATACAGAAAGCCGAGTACTTCAAAATCTGCAACTGCAGCTCTAAAGAAAGAAAAAACCTTGAACATCTTACAAATTAGAGGACACCCCCCATCCTTTCTTCCATCGACAAATTAGAGGACACCCTTCATCCCTTCATCCCTTCATGCACAAATTAGAGGACACCCTTCATTTCCAGTCCCCTCTTCCCTGTATGGAAAAAATTGTAAGGATCGGTTTCCTTGTCTTTCCTTTTGCATCACTATAAATTCAAGATTATTCATTGACCTAAATCAAATCGTCAATTTAAGTGTATATTTAGAGCAAGTTTCACCACATAAGTAGATTTAAAGAAAAGGTAAACAGGTAAAGCCACGATTTTTAGATGATTTTTCGAGTTTTCTTCTCGTTCGCTACAAGTGACATGAACCAAGAATAAAAGAGATAATCCACAACAACCACATCTCCAATGGTTTCCAGTTTTGCATAATCATTGATGGTTTATGAAATTTGAACAAATCTGTACCAGAAGAAAGGTTCTAAAATTATTCTTTATTGCAAAAAATGCAAACAGATATTCCTCAAGGGTACTCAAAATTCATAACTAATTACACCTTTAAACCCAAAAACTCAAACTTAAAGGCCTAAATACAAATCTGAGGCCCCGAGGAGTCCGATAAGCTACAGCGTTATAAAAGTTCCATGAAATCGCTTGTCAGTAGAAGTGAAGGTCTGGCAAACCTGCACAAATCAAAGAATTGCAGCAACAATATGTCACGACTGCTACAAACATCGAAACTATAACAATTATGCTACATAGAGAGATCCACAAGATATAAGTAGCCATCATCAGGAGGTCACAAGGAGAACAAGTCTCGAATTGGGTTGGTCGTGTGCAATGAACAACAGTGATCAGTATCGATAAACAGTTGGCTCAACCATCACTGAAGGTAAATGAAGTGAGCTGAGAGTTGAGGTTTGAAGCAATACAAATCTTGATTATCAGACTCGTTATGAGTCATGACTCGTGACCAGTAAATAGAACTTGTCTTTTGCAAAATCAAAATCAAATGCTTGTTGCAGTTTATAGACGAATCACACAGCGGAATTTACTCTGATATCCAAGTATCATGTTTTATGATTAGAAGTTCGAGCTTTTCTTAAGAATTGTAAAATAAATTAAAGATAAAACTTGTCTTTACAAAACACTGGCTTGTAAGGATCTCTCAGTAAGTAATGTACTGAACATCTTAGAACTTATTTCAATGATCTTATCAGCAAGGCTTATAGTTCGAACTTGTCTATCCGGCTGGCATGGATTTCTTCTTAACGTGTGTACTGAACATCCTCGAACTTATTTCAGTATAACTTGTCTTTGCAAAACCGATTTTAAGGATACTTCTACAGGGTAAATGTACCGAACCTCTTTGAACTTGTTTTTGCAAATCAAACATTGCTGAGCCAAATCACAAGACGGAGAAAAACAAAAGAATATAAGCCTTGAATATGATTTTTGGGATATTTCCGGCGCTCCCACCTCACATTTCACAACCTCTAACTTCACTAAACAATTTACGATTTGATATCATGGATTAACAATTTATGATTTGTGCATTAAGTTCGATACATAATCTTTCCATGAAAGAAACTAAACACCCAGTGGCTCAGATCATACAGGCTAAGATGGAATTAAGAAATAAAAAAGTTATATGGTTCCCAATAATTCCTATAGCAACTAAGACCAAAAGTTTCAATTTTTATTTCCTTGCCCAAAATTTCTCAGCAAACAAAGAAAGCATCATTCATGCCCATTAATTAACAATTAAAAACCAAATTATGCAGACAAGCCCCATTAATCAGACATAACCAAAAACCCTAATAAAACCCATACTAACAAACACCCAACAAATTGAAGAACTGGGCGCACGCAAGTTAGAATTAGATTAGGATATCGCTCGAATAAAAAGAACAAAAACCCAACAATATTAAGGAAAATTAATCATATTTAGTGTATAAGGAAGGGGCTTTTACCTGGAAAGAATCAAATTCAGTGCTTGATTGGGTTCTGAACCTCCATGACGCTCTTGAGCTTAGGAGCGTAGAGAGAGTAAACGAGAGCCTGCCGATTGGCGACCTCCAGCTGAGCCTTCCCGTCTGAGAAGGCGGAGGAGATGGCAGACGGGTCCGAAAGGTTCCGATTCTGACGAAAACCGTCGACGGTTCGGCGTTTCGTGTACTCCCTGATGTTGTAGTCGGTGAACTTACGAGCCACTCGAAGGAAAGAGCGGAACATCGTGAGCACCTCAGCCCGAGAAGAAGCCCGGGCCACCACAACCATGGTGGTGGTTATCGCGCCTCCTCTGAGCTTTCCCGAGAGCAGAAGAATGTTCGAGAGAGATTGAGAGAGTGAGGGAGAGAAACACTTCGGACCCGATCTGAACTCTGAAACGGAAGTATGCGGCTTTCGTTTATTGGCTTCCCCCCAGCATTTGTGGCACAGAACGCAGCGTTTCACGCTTAAGACCAACCAGCTCCAATGTTTAGACCCAAACCCAAATATTTGAGGGTTTTTTTTTTTTTTTTTTTTTCAAACGATAGAATTTGTTAGATTAAGTGTTAGATCTTATGCTTTTATGTAAGGGTTAAATATATTTTTACTATATTTGAGTTTTTTTTTTTTTTTTTGTACATCGATATTTTTACATTATAGAGAGTTCAGCTAAACTACATAACAAGCAACCTAATTTGATATCAAATTCATTATATACTAGATTTGAATTTAAAACCAATTTCTTTCAAATAATTAGTAATACCACAAGAAAGGTCACTCAATGATGAAACTAAACTAAAAATTTTGATTTAAACCCGAACCAAAATTCAAATTTGGGTTTCTATTTATCTAACCCAAATTTTGGAGGACAGGTTTTTATAAAAAAAATAAACGAAAGCAGGCTTTTGAGAAGTGACAGTCAGCTGCGCCCCAAGTTGCAGGCGATCCAGCTGTCCAACGGTAATATTTGAACAATTGTGAACGGTTCGATTTCTAGACCGTTGAACAACAGTCCAGACTAACATTCAATTTTTTTTTTAGCTAATATTTTGATTTTGATTTAAAGGTCCATATTTGACAAATTAAAACTTGGTTACATATTTTTTTGTCAATTTTTTGGTCTTGATGTAACGGTTCATATTTGCTTTTTTCGAATTCCTCTTTATTATTTACTAGCCTTCATGCACGCGCTCACATGCGTGCAGTAGACATTTTTTGAATCACTATGTGTTACGCGCGATTTACATGTTTTAAATGTATTTATTAATGTAGATGGAAATGAATAATAACATTTAATAAAAGCGATCTTTTAACTAATCAAAGCAGCTGAATCCATATTAATAAAAGCGGTCTTTCAATTTCCATCTACATTTTATTGAATTTACATTAAGATTAGAAAAAATAATATTTAATAAACAACTGATTGCTAGCTCATTGTGAGGCTAAGCACACTCCCTTCCCTTAGTGTACAATTAATTTAATCACGTTAATATCCGCGTGCAAAATACTTTTTTTATAAAGAAAATAATATTTAATAAACAACTGATTGAATTACATTATTGCTAACTTATTGTAAGGTACTAATTAAAAAAAGGGAGTTTTAACGAAAAGCACACGGTACTGTTCACTTTAACGAAAAACCACATTTTTACACTAAAAAGTCAAATATGGTACTATTCACTTTACCCTTTATTTTGTCCTTATCATTAAAGCTCAAAGTTTTCAAACCCTTTTCATTAGTTTTCTTTTAAAAAAAACTTTACTAATTTATCACCGGCACTACGTGCCTTTTAAGATGTTTTGAACACAATATTCATGATTTTCCTTATTTTTTTTATTATATTTTTCTTTACCCTTCACGTGGGCACCATCAACTTTTCACTCATCGGTCTATTTTTTTATACTTTTCTCTCTTCCCACTTATATTTATATTTTATTTTATGATGATTAAATTACCAAATTACCCTTACATTATTTGATATATTATATTTGACTGCTTTTGGAGTTTTTTTTGTTGAGGGGCAATTTTATCTTAATATTTTTGTCAAATGCGTGAACCTAAAGTTTTTGTCGCATGCATGACACCAAATTGGGGCTCTCGCTTTCTATTATATAGATTTCTTTTCCAACAATGATATAAAAAGAGGTTCACAGATCCTAAATCATACAAATCAAATTTCAAAACCAAATCGAACCCCTAATTAAAATTGACGAAGCAAGGTGAAATTCATTACCTTCTGTGCACTACAGCAGTCCGAGGTGGTGGAAAGACAAAGAAGTCGAGAGAGAGAGTTCTTGACGGGTCCCATATATGTAAAACTACCAAACAGGCAGAATAGCCTCTTCAACATAAAACTTAATTTCTTCGCCGGTCGACGACACCCAAATTGAACATGCACAAGTAAATGGTGGATTGTCATGGTACGGATTAGGCCTTCCTCTTCATCCTATTGAGTCTCGAATTCAAACCATCATTCTTCTCTTTTTCTTAGTCTAGTATAGAGTAAAAATATCATTTGTAACGATGAACACGCATAAGTATTTTGAAAAAACAATATATTTATCCATCGAATAAGAAGATGGGTGCACAAAGAAAATTAATTTGATCAAGTAAAAGGAGGGAACTATTTCGATATTAACAAATTATTTCGAGCATTCAGAGAATGATGATAAAGTAAAATATATAAGTGTCGAGAAAAATAATTTAGATCCTTGCCCTGGGCTTTAGAAAACTCAGGACCGGCCCGGAATGGCAAGTGATGCTAGGGTTGACGGAAGCAAATTCAAGAAGCTCCTGATCAGACTCAAATATGGCCATTTCTTGTTCATCAAGGGTCACCCAAGCTTCGATACCATCTTGCTGTTTTGTGTCCAGCAACCGAATTACGTTCTTTTGGACGATATGGTTGGTGACCCACGCAGGTTTTCCCCATCCAAAATCCATTTCATATACAGGAAGTTTGCACAAGCTTGTGGTCCTGTAAAAGTTTACGCCTTCGTTCCTCTTAAAAGGATCAGCATGCTTTCTCATAAACTCGGACACCACCAAGAATCCTTCCTCACATTTAAATATTTTCCAGAAATCTGCCGCTGATTGCCTCATATTGCTCACTAACTCGTGTAACTCGGTCTCATTTGCTCTGAATACCACTTGTAGTGGCCAAAACCAGTTCCCCATGACATTTTCTGATATCTCGGGGACCATTCTTTTGCGGAAGCTCATCATCTGGGACAGCTCCGTTGCCCTCGTCGAACTCTCAGGCTGGCATTGACGGGAAGCAGCAACAGAACATTTCAATATGATAGCCAGAACTAGGTTTACATGTGATGGGATGAAGGTTTGGACTGCACTCCCAATTTTGGCCTTCAGACCGGCTATCTTTGAGACATCGAACACAAACCTTCTTGTAACTAAATTTTGACTTTGGATTTTCGATGCGGCGTTGATGGACACCAAGGGTAAATCTCTTCTAGGGGGTAACAAAGACCCTCCAGTAAACTCCGGTTGTACCAATTTCACTCCAAGGATTCCATCGTTGCGGTTTATTGCTGCCCATGTTCGCGCGAATGTGAGGAGTGATGCTGCATCTGCAATCTTGTGTGAAGGGGATATAGCAACAACGATTCCTCCACACTTGAAAAAGCTAATCTGAACAAACAAGAGTACATATCCCAAACCTACTTGGCCTGTTTCGGGATCATTTTCGGCAATAAAGTGGTTGATCAACTCGGGATTGGGTTGCTTGAGAAAGTCCGAAAGTTGGCAGTTAACTTGGGCTTCAAGAAAATGAGCCCCTTCATCGTTGCACTCAACCAACGCCGAGCTTTTGAGCCGGCCAGCCAGTGGATAGAAGTGAACTAAAGCTTCAGATAGAGACTCTTGCAAGCGCTGAGATTTTCTGGTCTCTGAAGTTTCGGAAGCAAAACCAGAATCGCTATGGTTTTCGTAGAACCATAGGATGGTTGGATATAGAGTCGAAGGAAAAAATTGGTCGTAAAGAGAGAGGTTAAGAATTCTGTTGAGATGAGGAGTGGGAGATGATGGTTTGATGATCTTTCTTGAGGTGATTTCCACCAGTGAATTGATATCAGTATTACAAATTCCGAATGTCATGGTGCTCTAGATTGGAAAGGTAGAAAATTAATTAGGATGAAGCAGTATGTCTGAAACTGAAAGAGATATTTGGGGAGAGAAACTACTTCGCGTATAAAATTCCCATCCCATGTTAGGTTACAATTATTTTATGGAAACGTTCGTTGTCCTTGTTACCTAATCAATGAACCCTTATATAAAACTATGTATATAAATACATAACATGTGAACGGTAATGATTCCCACGTGGGATATCAAACGGCCGTACAGGGTTCACGTCATCTCGCTGTGTTGTTTATGTGTTATGTTTGAAAATTTTTTATATATGAAAGAGCGTGTTTTCCCTATTGCATGGATCTTTAAGTAAATTAAGTTACTCTTCATGTTATCAATTATCGATTGGTTTTATAATGAAATCTTAACTTTGTATCGTACGGTCGCTGTTATGAGTCAACGGCGGTGTTGTAGCATATGGCGCATCTAGGGATGAAGGTTGTGCAGGTCACAGGTCACATCTATGCTGGTCACATGTCACATCCACGTGCGCTATGGTGCTGGTAATACCGAATATTTTTCCAATTTTTCGATTCGGGATCGGGAATGGGCCCACAGGAAAATCCGTGGGCTTTCTGATTTGATCAGGATTTCGCGCTCAAAATTGTCAGCCCAAATTTGTTGGGCCTCTGAATGTGCAATTTTTTTTATTTCGGCCTATCAATACAGCCTTAGTTTTGGGCCCATTTCATACCAATTCATATTTATCACTACAATTTTTAACACAGCTTATTATTTTATACTAAATTATCATGTTTAATGGTAGAAGTTAGAGCTTGTCATAAGAATTGTACAATAAATTATAGATAGAACTTGTCTCTTACAAAACAAAGGCTTTTAAGGATCTCTCGGAAAGTAACGAACTGAACATTTACAACTTATTTCAATGATCTTTTTTCCTCTTTTTTTTTGGTCGAAATATTTCGATGATCTTATTACGAAGGCTTAGGGTCTGTTTGGTATTCTATTTGAATTTTTTTATCATTTCTCAAAACATTTCTTAAGAACATTTCTTGAAAACAATTTTCTTTATGACTCAAAAAATTAATTGGTTTGCGATTTAAAATTTTTAAATCTTACGACTTAAACTAGACAAAGAGATCTAAAAAGAGGGGGCCACAGGAGAGGGAGAAAGATGAGAGAGGAGGAAAAAAAGTAAGAGATAATTGAAGGAAAGAGAAAGCAGAGAGAGAGGGAGGATCCGACGAGATAGAAAGGAGGATGAGTGAAAGTAAGAACCGAGAGAATTAAGAGTGGATTTGAGGAGAGACGGAAAATGTAAAAATAAAATAAAAAAAGATGAGAGAGAAAGAAGAAAAGAAAGAGATAGATTTGGAGTGAGCAGAGAGGAGGGAGAGAAAAGAAATGAGTTAGTTTAAGTTTAAAAACTCTAAAAACTCACTTTTTATGTTTTTAGAGAATATACTATATTTTTTAGTTAATTTTAAGTTCAGATTTTAAAAATAGTCATATCAAACAAGTTTTTAAGGCCTAAAACTTGAAAATTGTTTTTGAGTTTAAAAAGTTAGATTTAAGTAGAATACCAAATAGACTCTTAGAGTTAGAACTTGTCTTTCCGGCTGGCATGGATTTTTTTTAGAGTAAGTGTACTGAACATCCTCAAACTTATTTCAATTTAACATGTTTTTGCAAAACCCATTTTAAGGATTCTTTTGGATAGTTCCGGCCAAACCAAGAGCTCACCTCACATTTCACAACCTCTAACTTCACTAAACAATTTATGATTTGTGCATTAAGTTTGATGAATTACAATGTTTTGATCTAGACCTTCAATGACTGTTCAATTTCTTGAGGTCCTCCAAGTACTTGCAATACCAATTGGGTATTATTGTCGAAGAATAGAGATAAATCTCCTTGTATGTGCTTTTAATCGTCCCCACGGCAGCACCAGTTTCTTGCTGGACATCTTCAACAGTTTTTCCATTGGAAGCAAGCTTCACTATCATGTACAAAACCGCTGCCACAACAGATGTAGGGCTTCTCCTTATGTCAAGCTTCGCCAAGTTCTTCAAAGTTTCTTCCACAGCCCTCCGATCCTGAATACTGTTCATGCCAAGATTTGAGCAGTATCTCCGCCATAGGTCCCCGGCGTCTGTAGCTTTGGAACCGAGCTCTAGCTCTTCTTTCAACACTTTTACCATCTTGGTAATTTCTTTCATTGAGGGTCCGTTGGCAGCCCCGGCGATTTCCTTTGGTGTTCGCGAATATGGTTTTCTTGGCAGGCAAGGAACAGGCAAGCGGCCATCATAGCACCAAACTTTCTCCCCCTGCAGATCTTCTTGTCAACGGCCTTCTTGTATAACACTTTGGCATCATATAGTACGCCTTCGGGAAGGCCATGCTTGTCTAGGTGGTGAGCCATGGCTTCGAGGTATTCTGTAGCTTTTGTGAGAGACGTTTGGGGGTTCGACGTCGCAACGTTATTCAACCGGTTATATGGAGGAACAACACCATCGGTGTTGTCCTTGTTCTTGTTTTGCTTCTTTTCTTTGGAAATACAAGTGGTAAGAAGGCCATTATCCAGCAAAGGATCCAAGGAAGTACCGACACGAGTCCGGTCCTCCTTGGGATCCTTATCCGCAAACTTTCGCCACTCGGCGGTGACATCGATGCAGTAGGCTCCAACAATCAAACCACAGTCAGTGCAGATTGTGTCACCCGACTGGTGGTCGATCACAACTTGTGTGTATTTCTTGCAATATGAACGGAACTGTTCATCGGTTTCCATGATTTTCAGATCGAGAGAGAGAGAGATGCAGTAGCTTTTCTCTTGCAGTAAGTAGGCTTTCTTGTTTTAGATTTTTGGAGTCTCTGATTATACGTTTTATAGGGGTGGGATGGGAAGCTAGTTCTCCTAGATTGGTAGGGATTTATTGTGAGTCGAATCTTTCCTTGTACAAAACGGGACAAATTAAGAAGAGTTGCTAATAAAACCTAGGAAATTAAGCCCTAGCTTCCTGATATTTATAGGACCACCGACTCCTATATGTGACCGACTTAAACCCTATCCCAAAACATCAAATTCCTAGAGTGATATAGGGATAAGAAATTATTATGTAAAAAAAATAACTAGCCAGTATTATACGAAGAAAAAAATTTTCACTGTGCTGGAAATACGACGCGATACACAAAATGTCATAATACAATTAGATGACCCCTCGTATTATTGCATTTGATGATTTTAACTCAATAATAAGATGTCACATGTCCTGGTTTTTAAAGTAAAAACAAATAATAATAACTTGCCCTTATTTCTAAACAACATAATATAATCGTTGTACAAATTAAGCTTATCATTGCTGCTCCAAATTCTATCCAATCTTAGTTTGCCTTTAATTTGTATTTCATATTTAGTCCTACCATTGCATAGACATACAAAATTGTATAATTAAACGATGGTACCCAATACTAATTAACCATTATTTCTGAATACACCAATAGATCAAAAGCCTGACTCTAAAATAAAAATAATCAATTAATCTTAGGCTCCTAATCCCACATACTAACACAGCTAGCCTTCAAAACTTGATTATTTATCCATGAGAAATGATAAGTGACTCTCTCAAAAGCGGAGAGATTTTTTAGTGTACTCAGAATATGAAACGAAACACTACATGTCATGGAGTGGAACACATCTTGATATAATTCAACCGCTAAAATACAAATCCAAAGTCAAAAGAATAATCGTACAACTAATTAAGAGTGGAAAATTTAATCCCAACAAACTCCCCAAGCTGGATATGGATCAATTAGGAACTACAATGTTTTGCTCTAGACCTTCAACGAGTGTTCAGATTCTTGATGTCCTCCAAGTACTTGCAGTACCAGTTGGGTACTATCGTTGAAGCATAGGGATAAATCTCCTTGTATGTGCTTTTAATCGTCCCCACGGAAGCACCAGTTTCTTGCTGGACATCTTCAACAGTCTTGCCATTGGAAGCAAGCTTCACTATCATGTACAGAACCGCTGCCACAACAGATGTAGGGCTTCTCCTTATGTCAAGCTTCGCCAAGTTCTTCAGAGTCTCTTCCACAGCCTTCCGATCCTGAATACTGTTCATGCCAAGATTCGAGCAGTATCGCCGCCATAGGTCCCCAGCGTCTGTAGCTTTGGAAACGAGCTCCAGCTCTTCTTTCAACAATTTTACCATCTTGGTAATTTCTTTCATGGAGGGTCCATTGGCAGCCCCGGCGATTTCCTTTGGTGTTCGCGAACTATGGTTTTCTTGGCAAGCAAGGAACAGGCAAGCCGCCATCATAGCACCAAACTTTCTCCCCCTGCAGATCTTCTTGTCAACGGCCTTCTTGTATAACACTTTGGCATCATAGAGTACGCCTTCGGGAAGGCCATGATTGTCTAGCCGGCAAGCCATGGCTTCGAGGTGTTCTGTAGCTTTTGCGAGAGACATTTGAGGGTTCGACGTCTCAACGTTATTCAACCGGTTATTTGGAGGAACAACGCCTTCGGCGTTATCCTTGTTCTTGTTTTGCTTCTTTTCTTGGGAAATACAAGTGGTAAGAATGCCATTATCCAGCAAAGGATTCAAGGATGCACCGACGCGAGCCCGGTCTTCCTTGGGATCCTTATCCGCAAAATTTCGCCACTCGGCGGTGACATCGATGCTGAAGGCTTCAACAATCAAACCACAGTCGGTGCAGATCGTGTCACCGGACCGGTGGTCAATCACAACTTGTGTGTATTTCTTGCAATCTGAACATAACTGTTCATCAGTTTCCATGACTTTCAAAGAGAGAGAGAGGCAGTAGCTTTTCTCTTGCAGTACTTAGGCTTTCTTGTTTGAGATTTTTGGGGTCTCTGATTATATGTTTTATAGTGGTGGGATGGGAAGCTAGTTCTCCTAGTCCGGTAGGGATTTGTTTTGAGTCGAATCTTTCCTTACAAAACGGAGCAAATTAAGAAGAGTTGCTAATAAAACTTAGGAATGCCCTAGCAGCTTCCTGATATTAATAAGACCACCGACTCCTATATGTGACCGACTTAAACCCTATCCCAAAACATTAGTGATAGGAATAAGAATTATTTTGTGAAAAAAAAAAAAAAAAACACTTAAGAGGTATTCATTAGTGAGTATTATAGGAACCACCATAAGTGGTCCAGTGGTAAGAGCGCGGACTGCGGTTCCTCAATAAACAAAAAAAATGTAGGAGATCCCGAGTTCAATGTTCCAAACTGGTGATTGGTGAGTTTACTAGACAGTGGCCACGGGCAGAGTGAAATTCCCCACAGCCTCTCCGGACCCCCCAAGGGGGGTGTGGATAGGGGAGAGTTGCCACAAGTTGTCTCATTTTAAAAAATAAAAATTAGTGAGTATTATATGGAAATAAAATTTATGCTAGGTACACGACTCGGTATATCAAATGTCATATTATAATTGAATGACCACTCATACTATTGCACTTGCTGATTTTGTTCAATAATAAGATGTTACATGTTTCTTGTTTTTAAAAGAAAACAAATTAATAACATGTCCATTATTTTTTAAAACAATAAAATATGTTTTAAAATATTACCGGACTAAATAAAATCAATACTTACTAATGAGTATCCAAGTATTATCATCGTAGCAATTAAGCTTATTATTGCTGCTCCAAATCCTATCCAATCTTAGTTTGCCTTAAATTTGCGTTTCATATTTAGTCCTACCCTTGCATAGACATACAAAATTGCATAATTAAACAATAGTATTAAATGCTAATTAACATTTATTTCTGAATACAACAACAGATCAAAAGCCTGACTCTAAAACATAAATAATCAAGTTCTTGTATTACGGTCTGGTGGTATTTCGCTTCACTTGAAAGTGAAAGATCTTAGGTTTGAATCTCATGAATGGCGAATTCAATATCAAATTAGGTTGCCTATTGTGTGACATAACTGAACTCCCCTTCTCTTTAGTGTAAAATATCGATGTACTAAAAAAACATAAATAATCAATTAATCTTAGGCTCATAATCCCACGAACTAACATAGCTTGAAACTTGATTATTCACACATGAGAAATGCTAAGAGAACTCTCTCAAAAGCAAGGAGATTTTTCTTAGAATATGGGATGGAAGTGGAATACCACAAGTCATCATACAATTGGAGAGAATCACTCCAATTGTGGTATGACATGCAATGTTCACGTTTTTTGGGTACATTGAATTTTTTTTCTTCTCAAAAGTGAGACTTTCTGTCACCTCGCAGTTTAACGTCAATTCTCGTATCAACATTATAAAACATTATGTAAAAAACATGAGGTGACAAAGAGTTCATAAAAGAGTCCTACTTGTTTAGTCTCCTTTGCATTTTTCTTCATACATATATGTTTTTGTTTTAGTATAAAAGTGGAATCAAACGCACCGTTTAATCCCAACCAAACGCACCGTTTAATGCCAATTAACTAGTTGACGAACCATGTTTGAAACAAAAGCGCCAATTGACTTTGATGAGCGCCCCAGCTCAAGCTTTTACCAAAGCCAAGCACGTCGTCAGTGCCGCCGCCGCTGCAGCCACTCGATCCGTCGCCAAAACTAAGAATTTTCATGGCCACCTCATCACATCAGGCTCAGTCTCGCCGCAAGTCCGCTCAAATCTTGCAAAGTCTTACGCTTTATGCAGTCACGTCCCGTACGCGCGCAAACTGTTCGACGAATTGCCTGACCGGAGCTCATTTTTGTACACTTCGCTGATGCGGATGTATGTATGCAATGGCTTACCCTATGAGGCACTAGACGTGTTTGCGCAGATGGTGGCCTTAGGGAAGTGTTGCCCAGATAGGTTTACTTATCCGGTTGTGATTAAGGCTTGTGGTGATTTGTCCTTGATTGATGTTGGTGTTGTCGTTCACGGAAGAACGGTAGTTTGTGGGTTCAATTTAGATGGGTTTGTTCAGAACTCTTTGGTGGCAATGTATATGAGTTGTGGGGAGACGGAATTGGCAAAAAGGGTTTTTGATGCAATGCGAGAACGAAGTGTGGTGTCTTGGAATACCATGATCAGTGGGTCCTTTCGGAATGGGTGTGCCAAGGAAGCTTTGGGTGTTTTTTATTGGATGATGAATGTAGGTGTGGAGCCGGATTGCGCCACTGTGGTTTCTGTGTTGCCGGCTGTTGGTTCCTTGAAGGAGATAGTGTTGGGAAGACAAGTTCATGCCTTTGTAGAAGAGAAGGGTTTGGGGAAAATGATAAAGCTGAGAAATGCATTGGTGGATATGTATGTGAAGTGTGGTAGCATGAATGAGGCACGATTAGTTTTCGATAGCATGGGTGAGAGAGACGTCGTGACTTGGACGAGTATGATCAATGGATACATTTTGAATGGTGATGCAAGAAGTGCATTGGCACTTTGTTGGCTGATGCAGCGGGAAGGTGTAAAACCCAATTTCGTAACTATAGCTTCTCTTCTTTCAGCCTGTGGGAGCTTGCATCTATCAAAGCATGGACGGTGCTTGCACGCATGGGCTATTAGGCAAAAGCTTGAATCTGATGTTATGGTGGAGACCGCTTTAATTGACATGTACTCAAAATGCAATTGTGTTCATTGCAGCTTTCAAGTGTTTGCAAAGACTTCAAAAAAGAGAACAGTTCCCTGGAATGCAATTATCTCCGGCTGCATTCATAATCGGCTTGGTAGAGCAGCGATCGAACATTTCAAACAGATGCTCATGGAAGCAGTACAACCCAACGAAGCAACCTTGAACAGTCTGCTTCCTGCATATACCATTCTCGTTGATTTGCATCAAGCAATGAATATACATGGTTATGTAGTACGATCTGGGTTTCTTTCAAGTATTGAAGTTGCTACTGGTTTGATTGATTCATATTCGAAGTGTGGAAGTTTAGCGTATGCTCACCAAATTTTTAATGAAATCCCAGAAAAGGAGAGAGATATTATCCTGTGGAGTGTGATAATAGCTGGTTATGGAATGCACGGCCATGGCGAGGTTGCAGTTTCACTTTTCTATCATATGGTTCGATCTGGGGTGAGGCCAAATGATGTCACTTTTACCTCTGTTTTGCATGCTTGCAGCCATGCCGGTTTGGTGGACGAGGGCTTGGGGTTGTTCAGGTTCATGCTTGAAGACCCAAAAGTGAGTCCTCAAACTGATCACTACACGTGCATTGTGGATCTTCTTGGTCGCGCTGGTCGGTTGGCAGAAGCTTATGATCTGATTAGATCAATGCCGTTTCAGCCTAACCATGCCATTTGGGGTGCACTACTCGGTGCCTGTGTGATACATGAGAACGTTGAGCTGGGAGAGTTGGCCGTTAAGTGGCTTATTGAGCTCGAGCCAGAAAATACAGGAAACTACGTGTTGATGGCCAAAATCTATGCTGCAGTGGGAAGGTGGAAAGATGCAGAAAATGTGAGACATATGATGAATGAAAGCGGGTTACGAAAAACACCCGCTCACAGTCTGGTTGAGGTCAGAAATATGTGAAACGAAGCGTAGCTTGGTGGTTTGTTTTCTCTAAGAGGATGAAATCCAACTCTTCAACTAGAGCATCTGTTCAAAACAGCAATGGGTGAGGACCGAATGAAAAGGGAGACGCTTTTACCGTCGTGGTGTTCGGGGCCCTAATGATCGAATCGAGATGGTGAGGACCTTGGTGGAAGGGTACATTGTCCATGGCGTTGAGCATGAATGTGTGCAGTTTGAAAAGAACGTGATAGAAGTCCGACCGGTCGAGTTGGTTAAGTTTCGAAGGGAAATACATCTTGGAGGTCGGAGTCTCAGTCTGAAGAGGAACAAGGCTGAGTGCTCTTGTATTAATTACTTAGTTGGATTGGGGATATATGTATGTAGGGCACTGCTAGGGAGATTATAAATTTAAATCGTATTTTGTAAACCATATTATGATGTGTTGATTATTATTAAATGTTGATTAACGTATTTATTTTCTGTTTGTGATACATTACATGATTTGTAAATGTGGTCTAAAAAATTAGTCTACCGAGTATTACTCGTATACGTATATAGGTACACATCTACTACCTGAATGGTTTTCTATCGTATGACCTTACAAACCTGTTAGCCTAATGATGACTTAATAGTTTTCTCATAAATATCTTTGAATTGTTTCTTTTAGCAATTTTTATTCTCCTATACGTATCACTAAGTGAACCGAGAATTATAAGTTTAAATCTTACATATAAGAATTTACTAAATTCTTTATCAAATTGAAATCTTAATGTAAAATTCATACCTACCATTATATCCGTACCTTTTATGCATTGGTGATTATTTTTGTTGACATAACTCTTGGCCCCAACAGAATCCTCTCGGAATCTTTTTATGAGGATTATGGGACGTGAATTGTGTTTGTATATCGTACATTATGGGATCAGTTTTTATTAAGTATTTTGTGTATAATTTTAAATACAAATATTTAAAATAATTTATGATCGTACGTATATAATAAAAGAACACGATATACGGATTCCTGAAATCCTCGAGAATCCGAATTCATCTTTGCCTATATGTTATATGCTTTTGGTGGGCCCGCATATATATTCTTGCTTTAATTTTTTTTATTTTATTTTAGTGTTTTAAGACTTTGAGAGAGAAAGATTAAATTAAACAATGAAATCTGAGATCTAGCATGTCGGTGTAGCAACTTTTTTGGCAAAGCTAGCTAAAACCCTAATCAATTCTTCAATTGCATTGCCAATTTTGGCATGAGAGGAGCATCAATTCCTTTTCTCGTTTTCATGTTCTAGGCACATGACACAAAGTGAAGTCTATTAAAATATAATATGCATCAATTTTTCATTACGTAGTAGAAATAAACTATTAATTTTATTAAGTTAAATCGTGCATAATGTCTTTGTAATTCGTTCAGATTTTCACTTTTCTTGGTCTTTGTTTTTCCTTTGCGTTTTCATTATGTTTTCACCTTAATTCCACACATCGATTAAGTCTGATTTTTTCCTAAATTTTTTTGGACCGCTCGACATGCAATTAGTTCAAAACATGTTCATCATGTGGCCGAGCAAAGCGCACCCGTGTGAAGCAGCCTAGCATCGCTTTAGGTAGGAGCAGAATGAAGGACGATTCCCTCGTCTCTCCCTTTTCGGGGAATGGCTGCGGACTAACTGCTCTGACATTCCTGTTTTTTTGAAATGAATCTTCGATTTGGAAAAAAACCAACTTGAAAAGAAGTCCAACTCATTCCATGATGTGCTAACAGTGCTATGCATTGACGAATGCAACTTTTTGGTGCACGAATAACAAACCCACTAGATAATTAGATATTAGGGATTGACTAATATGACGCAACCGACACGTCACCTTTTTTAGGTCAAGGTCGACACATCATTTGGTCATCCAACAAAAAACGACTCGTCGTCTCAGCTGAACCTTCTAAAATCTAGGAGGAAAGCTTGACACGGTCGATACGACATGCATATGGACGTGCGTGGTGCAGGGGCTTTGTGGCATCAACGTCGTTAGCGGCGACTTTGGGCGTTTGTAGGGACAAATAGAAATGGGAACTTAGAGGAAATACAATATAATTATCCCTTATGATATTCAGCACGTCTTTTCAGTTTTCACAATGTCTTGTTCCTCAAGCAATTGTTAAAATCACACACATGACATAAGTGTTTACGTGGTTCATCCAACTCAATTTCAATTCCGAGCTACGTACGCTGGTATTTATAAGAAATTAATTATAATTCAAGTGGTACGTTTACTAGCTCGAGAGCTTAAATAATTGATAGAGTGAAAACGGGTGGAGAGAGGTTACAATAAGAGGGAGAGCAACAAGAGCAGCCATAGATAGAGTAGTATATATCTAAACAAATCGAAGAACCTAATAGGAAGAAGCTAACGGAATAAAACTATTACTATGGGTATGAAAAGAGTAGGCCAATGGTTCGTGAAAACCGTATGAACATTTATAGAGCTTTGAACTTAGAAATTTCTTGGAATTTTTAGATACATTTCAATTTCATTCTATATCTTTCTTTACCTTTTATATTTTGAAAATAAGATTTAATTCAGGTGTTTTAAAATTAAAATTTATCTTATCATAATCGAAATTTCTCAACTTAACACAGCTACTTGGGGCATACAATTACAACTAATTTCATGTTCGATTATCGTTGGACAATCCTTGTCGGTTCTCACCATCATTTTTCAGCATATAAAATTAGGTGCAATAACAAATTCGGCATGCCAAACTCCACAGTCTCTCCCAAACCCAGCAGGAATTTATGACATTTCTGGCGACAGCTAAAGTTTGCACTACTTTGAAGAAAACAACATATAGTGCACAAACCACGTACAAAAAGTTTCCATGGCCCAGTAAATCACTTGCTCCCCTCTGTCAATATAATCTTGGAAAATATTATTCACACACCAATTTATACGTCTCACATGCTCTTGTTAATTTTTACTCATTGATTTTTTTCAGTTTATTTCGATCTGATGTCAAAAGTTAGAGAGATGTGTAAGAAGTAAAAATGAGTGTGTGGATAACATTTAATAGCACTACCCTACAAATTCTTGTGGATGTTGCATTAGAACTTAATTAGAAGCTTCCATGCTAATTACCAAATTAATGGATTTACTTTACTTATGCTAATCATCTTTCTATGATTTCTAATCACCTTTACTTGGTGCATGAGTCGTGACAAAGGTGAGAAATCAAATGCGTCATGGATTTGCAGCTACAGATTGCAGAAAGCACCATTTCTATTAATTTAAGAATTTATTTTCTTAATTACTTTAATTAGCAAAGTTTTGATTTGCGTAATTAACGGATTATTAGCAAAATTTGGATCGCCGGCCGACAAACGGCAACTCATCCGCCAATTGGATGACAAAAACGACATAATTCCCTTAACAATGCTCCTTTTTTATGTTCAAAATTTGGATTTAAAATGTGCAAAAATTGTTGGCGAAGCAAAACCGCATCGAACATTACATGGGTTAAGCCTAATGGAAACTCCAAATTAGAGATCCAAGTCTTTGATTATTTTCGGTAATCAACTATGCTTAAGAAAATGACGGTAAGGTGGAAGAGACTTCTTTGGATTTCGAGATGTGAATATATGATCGTTTTCATAATCAAAACGGAAGAAATTCGAATTTGTGATATATTTCGATGCACAAAATCATTGAATTAAGAGATAGTCTACAAACAAGTTTTGAAATAAATGGTTTTATGCTCATGCCGGCCACACAATTGTAACCATGAGGCCCACTCTATAGAATATTGATCGATATTTACACGACATTCTGTGTTGCGACATTAAATTAAAGATTTGTGTTTGATTTTGATAGTGATTTTACCTCTTGTTGACAATTCTCAATATATTAATTTGATTTAATTTGTACTTGGTGGTTGGAAGAACAAACCCTACTGTAGGGTTGGTTTGAAAATACTTTTAAAAATGACTGAAAGCGTTCTTTGCAATAATGTTTTTGAAATCAACCCTTAGTAAAATTCAAGTGGATCTTGAAAAAGTATTTGAAATGTTTCCAATAATACATACATAGCTGGTGCTTTTTTCATAAAAAAAAACACATTTAAAACTAAAATCAATTTTACTAAAACACTTTTTATCATTTTAAAAGCATTTCTAAACGAGCCCATAAATTGTAATCTACTTATGAAGGATATCTCCTCGTTTTGTACCGAGTAGCCTATTCTTAGCTTTATTGAATGAACTTTATGCCGTTTCTTATTAAAAAAAATTGATTTAAATTAATGGGTAAATTACATAGTAGCCCCTCAGGTTTGAGGTCAATTACAACCCCATACAACAACTTTAAAACATTTCACTTTCATACATCCAGTACCATTTTATTTCAAAATAACACCTCCGTTAGATTTTTCATCCATTAGTCTGTTAAATGCTGACGTGGCTGCCACATTTGTGCTGATGAGGCTGCCACGTGGCAAAAAAAATAATTTTTTAATTTTTTAATTTTTTTTAATCTAATCTTCTAAATATTAAAAAAAAAAAACTTGAAATCGTAGAAACCCACCCCACCCCTCTTCTCCCTCTATATGTTTCTTCTTCTCCGCCCAACACAGAAAAACACCAACCACTATTTCTTTTCTCCCTCTCTGCTCTCTGCATACAAACCCACATACCCCCCCACGCGCCGCAACCTCTCTTCTTCCCCCCCCGACGCCGCAAGCAAACCTGGAAACATCCACCCCCAAAAAATCTGCAACCAAACCCAGAAAACTTCCCCCCCCTAAACAAACCCAAATCCGAAACCTCTTCTTTTCTCCCTCTCTGCTCTCTGCATACAAACCCACATACCCCCCCCCCGCGCGCCGCAACCTCTCTTCTTCCCCCCCCCCCCGACGCCGCAAGCAAACCTGGAAACATCCACCCCCAAAAAATCTGCAACCAAACCCAGAAAAACCCCCCCCCCCCCCAAACAAACCCAGATCCGAAACCTCTCCACTCTCCCCCCCCCCAAAAAAAACTCGGACCAAGTGCTCCTCTCGTCGGCTCGTCGGTCAGCTCTAACAACGAGGTATGTATTCAAATTTTGAATTTTTTCAGTGCTTGGTTGGTGGGTTTGGGGTGCTTACGAATGCGGTCAAAGTTCTGATTTTTTAATGGTTAATCTCAAACCACAGAACGATGCCGCACCGAGAAGAGAGAGAGAGAGGGGAGGAAGGCTGAAGAAAAAGTGAAAAAGGATAGTAGAGAGCAGAGAGGGAGAAAAGAAAGAGTGGGCGGAGAAGAAGAAACAGAGAGGAAGAAGAGAGGTGGGGGGGGGGGTTTTTGCGTTTTCAAGTTTTTTTTTTTTTAATATTTAGAAGATTAGATTAAAAAAAAATTAAAAAATTAAAAAATTATTTTTTTTGCTACGTGGCAGCTTCATCAACACAAATGTGGCAGCCACGTCAGCATTTAACAGACCAATTGATGGAAAATCTAACGGAGGTGTTATTTTGAAATAAAAAGGTACTGGATGTATGA